TGGTGCTCCCTCTCGCCCTTGCTCTTACTTATATTATTACATGGACAATTTGTATCTCAGTTATGTGTTTGTCTCCCTCCTTCCCAACTAATTCCATGAGCTACTTCTTTGTGGATACTCAACTCTAGCTCAAAGAGCATATGGCAGGCACTCCGCATCTAGTTGAACAAATCAGTAAGAAAATGGAATGAATGTAGTATGCCGGAAAAGGGAAAGGGGTAGTAGCCATGTTCTTTGGACTTTTAGGGAGAGTGGGAGTAGATGGTGCCCCCAGGACAAACACCTTTTATAGCTTGCTCCAAACCCCCACTATTCAATTGTCAGTGTGTTAGAAGGCAGTCCCTCGTGTATGCCTCCCGAAGAACATGCCTCATAGACTAAAAAAAAGTGACAGTTCTAGAAAGAGCAGAACTCATCATTTTTCAATAAATTCACTTTATATTGTGCCAGGGGGTAGCAATCAGCTGCACAAACACCGAGGGCAGTTGTTTTCACCCTGGGTAGTGGGGTCTTGAGTTTGTTAACAGTAGAATCATTGAGCATTTTAGAAAAAAGAAAGGCTTGCTGTGAAGGAACAAGGATGAGAGAATTGCTGGAAGTGTAGCCTCTGGAAAGAAAAGCTCTAGACCAGAGAATCACTTGTGAAGCAAGGCTCTGGGTACGGACGGGGAGTTAGCTCTCCCTGGGCCTCCTGAATCCATGTCATGCTTATTGACGCTGTCATAAACAGTGGCCGCCAAGAGAGGCCCTGCAAACACCCAAGCTAGTCATACCCAGATATTACCTACCAGGAGACAAAGGTCACCCATAATCTGTGATGGGTAGGAACACCTGCCTCGAAGCAGTGCCCACCCCTTACTTAGCAGCAGTGTCGGAGGGTTATTCCTGCTGATCCAGGTACCCCTCCATCCCTGTGCTGCCAGTTGAAGTTCAGTCTTAAACGCTGCATTGGAAATGAAGAGACGGTGCCCTAGTCCACCAGGCATGGGGTATTCTGTTACACCCTCATTCGGGATAGTGATTGCTTTGGGGTTGCTGATGACGAAAGCCACCTTTTCCCAGTTTAGAAACAGCACCATTGTCATTTTTACTCTAATACCATGTCAAGTTTAGTGGTGGTCATGGAGTTGATGGAGGTCATATGTGCCAGGTCTGCTGCACCTTTTTTTCCCTAGATTGACACTAATATGAGGACACAAAAAAATTATCACCCAGTCCAAATGACTTATCAATAATAATTTCCACATAAAGATGGAAAAGGCATTCTTATGGTATATGTTTAAAAATAAAAGCACTTTTTTTGTTGGGGGAGGGGCGGGGGTGTATGTATGTATGTGGGGTGTGTGTGTCATCTATTAACCTCTCCCTGGCATTGTGTGTGACATATTTGTGCCAGAAGTGACAAGTCCCCAAACTGGGCAAAAATCACATTAAGGACACTCCCTACCATTTTTGCTTTCAGGCTAATGGAATATACACAGAAAATAATAAATATAAACTGTTAGCAGAGTTCAGAATGTATGCAGTGGCCCCGACCGAGCATGTCATGTTTGGGGCTGGGTCTTAGGAACTGGCATTTATGTGGGGATGGGCAGTGAGAACCAAAGCAGAGAGACGGGCAGGAGAGCACAGGTGTTTAGGTAACACTGAACCCACCACACTGGATGGACCAGTGTGTTAATATAGAGGAATCGTGGGAGAAGTAACCAGAAAGATGGAATAAGATGGAATAATTTCTTCTAGCTGGAAGAAATTGCTAGAAAGACTGTTAAGGGCCCCAGTGAAGGCAGGAGAGGCTGGACTTTTTCCAGTAATCAGAGGCGGCCACTGGAGATGGGAAGTAACATGATGAAAGCCACATGCGGAGACTTTTAGAAGGAATGCGCTGAAAATATAGCATATAAGAGTGAAATCGAATATGAGGGGAAACTGGAAATAGGGTGATTGGCCATCCAGTCAATAAATTGCCTTTTATTGTCAGATAAAATTCATGTCAAGCACAGCTACACTCCTCTTGGATATAAATGTCCCAAGTTGAATCAAATCAAGAAGCAAAGAAGAGTAGACTGTTTAGTTATAAGGGTGTGAGAGATAGGAAAGATAGTACAATACGCCCGCTCACACTATTTGTTACTTCTGAGTACCAAAATATATTCATTCCACCATAGCATATACTTTTTCCCATAAAAAGCAGGGAAGTGTGACTTGGTTTGAGGGACGCCATATGCAGCCTCGGGTTGAAAGGAATGTGTGGAGATGTGTTTTGCAGGGCCTTCCACTGCTCTCACCCGCGGAGAGCCGCCCTCACACTCAGGCCTGGTGCACCGCAAGACCTTGTTTTGTGCCTTGACAAAATGACATCTGAATTCATATCATGGACAGGGCCTTTTAAAGTCATTTGTTTTCTTTTGTCTTTAACTGCCTTTTTTCCAAAACGGATTTCAAACAAGCCTAGTTCTTTCCCTTGGAACTCACATGATGACACCCAAACTGCCCTGTCATTACAATGTAAAAAATCTTTCTCTGGCCTTATATTAGTATCTCTTCACTGACCACCTTCTAACAGTAAGAATCACACATGCCCACACTCTCTCACACATACATGTTCATGTTTTATCTCCTTTCAGGAGTGGGGACACCCCAAACGCTTTCTATATCTCAAAGGCAGTTTGGAGTTTAGCTGTAAACACTCCCAGTTCATCACAGCTCACCTTGCAGGGCCCCGTGGCCTACAAATACTTCTTTTCACTACACTCTCCCCTGCCCCTTCATCTCCTTTGAAATGTGGGAAAACTATTGGAAAGCTCTTTAGGATGCCCAGTTATGGAAGGAGGTGCCAGAACCAGCTCTAAGTGGCCTTGAGTGCCTGGGGTCAGCTCCTAAAAACATGAGAAAGGACTTCCCATAGGTCAAATACAAGTGGCTTTTTCTGTGTTCTAAGACCTAGGTCAGCGGATCACTTTAAATTAAAATGCATATTGTAATTGACATCTCAGCATATTACAATTGACATCTAGGTAAGCGGTCTCTTAATGAAATGTTGTACTTAGTAATTAATTCCAAAATTTAGAAAATTCTAAATCAAAGTGAACATTAGCCATGTTTTCCTCTTGCTCCTTTCTAACCCAATATGGAGGAGTGACAAAGTGTTTATTTTAAAAATGAAAAAGTTATCTGACAGACTCCTCATCTTTTCACATTTTCCATAATTCCTATTTCTGTAAGTATAAACAGAACCAAGCACATCAAGAATAAAGTTATACCGAGGCACCCTAGACGCTATAGACATTCTCTAAGAAAGAAAAGAAACACAACTGGCCATTGTATAATACACTCACAAGGCACCAGATGGTTACTGGTTACTTACATTAGTTACTTATTTTATAACCAGTATATATTCCCCCAAGCCAGGGAGAGGGATGACCCAGCCAGGACCCCAAAGCGGTACAAGAGACCCCTTGGCCAACTGAACAATCATCCTTATCTGAACCCCGTTTCCTCCCAGATTTTTTTCTGCCACCACGTTAAAAAAGCTCAGAGGCGGAGAGTCTGCAGCTGTTGAAGAAGAAAACCTGCTGCTGTGATTATATTGTTTCAGCCGAGAGAGTGTCTCTAGGTGAAGAACTGGAACCAGTGGGTCCCAGGAAGCAGGGTAGTGGGTCTTCCAGATGGGAGCAGTAAGCCCCAGCCCCAGGGCAAAACTCAACAGATGAGATTTTTAAAATTGCTTCCATTTCGCTTAGAATGGAGGTTTGCCAGGTCACCACGGGCACATGCCTTCTCTTAGGGTCTGATTTTCCCTGGCACGTGAATCAGACCTGGGAAGCCAATTTAGAGGCGCCGCGTGCAGTGTAGGTGGTAAAAGATGGAACGTATCGCGAACCCATTTCATTTGGTCTTAAGCAAACTCAATACCAAAGCTGATGGGAACTGGCTGTTTCGTTGTCTTTATTAGCCCAGAGCTGCTGGGACAGAAAGGAAAGGAAGACAAAGGTGAAGAAACTGGCGGGGATGCAGCCGAAAAGCAGGCGAGGGTGTTTTTGATGAAGTCAGAATTGGTTCTATTTTTACCTGTGTCCTCTAGGGTAGAGGAGCAGAACCAGGTACAAACTGCCCCCTGCTGTCCGATACAGAGAAGTACACCAAAATGTCCACTTCAGTAAAAAGAAACGCCTGCAGTGAATGGTAAACAAACGGGGGTGATGGCAGGCGCCCTCGTGGGAGCCAAGGACGTCACAGGTCCCCTAGATCCTCTCTAATATGCAGATGAAGGGAGGATGAGAAAGTTGGAGACATCCCTTATAGCAGGTTCTATGTGGGGGGTTCAAGAGCTACCTCAACTACTCCAAGTGTAACCTTGCTTCTCAGAGTGCGGTCCCTGGTCCAGCAGCGTCAGTGCCTCCGGAGAGCTTGTTAGAAATGCAGAGTCTCAGGCCCGGCCCTGGGTTTACGGAATCCAAATCTGCATATTAACAAGATGCCCAGGTGCATCCTTACACGTGAGAAGCCCGGAGCATAAATTTCAGAAGGAGCTTTGACACTGGAGAAGGCCCACGGTGCCCTAAGATTTGGATCCAATTGAATTCCATTTGAACAGTGACTAAACACAAACAAATAAGGAGAATGGAATCCTCTACCAAGATCATGATTGCCTTGTGCCCTTATTTTCTTCACACCCCTGTTTTTATATGTCCTCACATATCACTAGCTCGTTCACCGACTGTATGTCACATTACTTGGTATAATTCCGCAGCCGCTGGCCCTTGCCAAGCCGTTTCTTTGAAAGTCATTCTGTCCCAGCAAGGAGGTGCCAGGCCTCAATTTTATCTGTGGCAGCCTCTGTGTTTCCTTTCACTCTTGCCTGCTCTGGGCTTCCCCCTCCCTTCCCGACACCCCCGCCGTTCCTGTGTAAGAGTAGCGACTTGACGCTACAGGATGGAGCTGGCCCCTGGAGGCCTTGCCGGTCTGTTGCTAACCCAGAGTGTTCTTTTCTGCGCCAGGTCAGGGAAGAGTGCCGGCTCCTGAACGCCCCACCTGTTCCGCCCCGAAGTGCAAAGCCTTTGTCCACCAGCCCCTCCATCCCTCCTCGCACAGTCAAGCCAGCGCGGCAGCAGACTCGCTCTCCCAGCCCCACCTTGTCCTACTATTCTTCAGGGCTGCACGACATGTAAGTGTTCATGCCAGGGCCACCCACTTCGACACGATGCTTCTCACCGGCCAGGCCACGGGATCTTGAGAACAGCGTCCGGGTAGCCAGCGCCTAGGCAAGGTGGGGGGAGAGAAAATGTTCGTTGTGGTTTTAAAACGTTTTCGTGGAAGAGCATGAAGGGGCCCCCGTTGGTTTTGAGCCAGGATGAAAGAGCCAGGGTCCTCGGAAGAGATCTGTGAGAAATTCGGGGATGAGGTCCAGCTGGATTCTCTTAGAAGCAGCCCCAGACCGCCGTCGGTTCCCACAAACCAGTATCTAGCTCTTTTCCACTTTGACGTCAATTCAAGCGAACAGACAGCACCCTCACCTGGGACCTATAGAACTGAAAGGGTCCTGTTGGCTCTCTCCTCTGAATTTCCGTCCATTCCAGGGATCCCTTCTTGCCCTTCGCTGTCGGGTCCTCATTCACTTCCGTCTGGATCTTTCCAGCGCTGTGAGGTCATTCTTTTGCAGTACAGCTCATTCCATTGTTAGCAAGTGCCGATCACCTTTTTTTAGAAATCTTTCATTACATCCAGTTGAAGTCTATCTCCATGTAACTTTCAACTTGTTCATACACCTAGAAAAACAAGTAAAAGTGCACCTCACTTCTCTTTGTCAGCCTGTGAAAATGTGAAGTCAGCTGTGATGTGAGTCTTCTCTTCTCCAAAAGAGACAGCCTCCCTTCCATCCAGTTTCCCCGACATCACTTCCTGATTCTTGATCAGTTTGTTCACCCACCTCTGAGCACACTGTGGCTTCACTGTCACTCTGAACCTATGGCCCCAGAGCAGAACGCCCTGGCACTGTTCCACTTGGGATCTTTGCAGTTTAAAGTAGCTCATCTTTGCTGGTATTTTTGTTCTCCAGACATTTAAATCCTTATGCTCATGTTATGTAATTGTACAGAAACCTAGGCAAGAATTAGCATCTTATCTGAGGCATTTCTTCCTGCATCAGACTTTTGGGTGGAAATAGAATCATAGGTGGTGGTGATATAGTCATGTCCCTGGAGCACAAGGCTGGCACACATGGCACCCACTCACTGCCCTCTTACTCCGCCCTTGCCTGCTGCAGACATCACTAATCAATCATAGCACCTGCTGGTGATAAGGCCCAATACGGCATAAGAATTTTTCTCATCATAAAGATCTAGGCACCACTAACAAGGATTTTCTTGTTACTTTAGAAAAAAAAAATTATGTATTTGCCATCTCCACTGTAGCATTTTAAATCATTACATACATAACTATAATCACCAATGTATTTTAGTAATTTAAAGATTCTTTAAAAAAAAAAAAACTCAATGAGCTTAGCAGGTACTTTATTGAATTCATGATAAGAATTTTCCTAACTAGATTTTTCTCCTTGGAAATAACATCTATGAGAAAGGGGATTTGGGATTTGACTTTTTTTTTTTACTAATCTCCCTGTCTATGTTTGCTTTCAAGCAGCGTTACTAAAAGTGACACCAGTCCTTCGGAAAGTGCTCCTGTTTCCTGCTATCCATGTAACCGAGTGAAAACTGATTCTGTGGACCTGAAGTCCCCCTTTGGAAGCCCCTCTACCGAAGCTCTCGCTTCCAGGCTTTCGTGGCCTAACCATTATTCGGGAGCGTCGGAGAGCCAGACCAGGAGTGACTTCCTGCTGGATCCAAGCCGGAGTTACAGTTATCCTAGACAGAAGACGCCAGGCACACCAAAGAGAAACTGCCCAGCCCCTTTCGATTTTGAAGGCTGCGAGCTCTCAGCCAGTCCTGCCAGCTCAGTCACTGCGGAGTTCAGTAGCAGCGTCTCCGGTTGCCCCAAGTCCGCCAGCTACTCTCTGGAGAGCACAGATGAGAAAACTCTTGCAGCGGGCACGACAAAGCAGAGTATGTCATGCCCTGCCTTACCCCCCAGGGCTCCAAAGCCAATGGAAGAGAAAGCTGCCTCGGAAACTTCTCACTTGCCTCTGAAAATCGATGGTGCTGAGGAAGACCCCAAGTCTGGGTCACCGGACCTCTCTGAGGACCAGTATTTTGTTAAAAGGGGCATGCAGGACATCTTCTCGGTCTCTTACCCTTTCTCATCTCCGCTCCACCTCCAGCTGGCCCCCAGGTCCTGCGGCGATGGCTCCCCATGGCAGCCCCCTGCCGACCTGTCAGGACTCTCTATTGAAGAAGTGTCCAAGTCGTTACGGTTTATTGGTTTGTCTGAAGATGTCATATCATTCTTTGTTACCGAAAAGATTGATGGGAATTTGCTTGTTCAACTAACGGAAGAAATCCTCTCAGAGGATTTCAAATTAAGCAAACTGCAAGTGAAGAAAATCATGCAATTCATTAATGGCTGGAGGCCCAAAATATAGCCAAATAACCCCAGCTAGCTTGAACAAAACGGATAAATTTATGTGCTAGAAGGGGTGGGCTGGGACACAGTTTCATGTTTTTTGCACTAAAAACCTTCTCTGTATATAGGGATAAGAGAAACTCTTACTATGCAGATTACGTTTTTGAATGGTGAACAGGCTATTTTGTACATCAATAAAAATGCTGTACAGAACACTTAGAGGTGTGCCTTGTACATCACTCAATACTCAATAGCTGCTAAAAGACAGAAAGCATGTTCAGAGAACTAATTCTTACCCACGTAGGTTTATGCGAGAAGGTATGATATTTATTACAAAATAGCCAAAGCTTAAAGACATAAGCATCTTTAAAAAACAAAAACAAACAAACAAAAAACACTTTTGAACAACAATCCCTTTCTTTGGGGGAATCGACTTTAGACAATTAACTCTATTCTGTGCTCTGTCGTTTGGATTACTCAATGCTAATTGTTTTACTCTTGTGCCTGTCAATGTTAGTGATGAAATGACACTGATGTTATGTGCTTGGGGGGGGGATCTTTTCACTGAAAGGCATTTTCCAAAAGTCATGTGCTGATAGAAGATATATGACATCCTTAGAAAAAATGCAAACCATGACCACAATAATTTATCTGTAACTGCTGCTAATTTTACTGAGCAGTGGCGGGGGGAGGGCGGGGGAGCAGAATGGATACATATATGTATCTATATGTATACACAATATGAATGTATGTTTTAAACATCATTTTGAGTCTGATATTTTAGGTAACATCTGTTCACTTCCACGGAGATTTGGGGCTGGTCACTAAGTCGACTCTTAGGATGAGTGGAGAGACTGAACCAAAGGTCCTCGGAGCCCTGCCCCTCGACGCTCAGGCTTATTAGGGCTTCATCACTGAAAACTTGGAAGAAATCAGCAGAGAGTCTGTATTGAAGAATTAAATTTGATTTTTAGCCCATTCTGGGGCTGGGTTTTGCAAATAATACCCCCGTGCTGATGTTTAGGGAAATGACAATTCTCGGGTTTGAGAGTCTTAATTCTGCTGGCGTCTGATGGTGAGAGGTCTGAAGAGCGTTTCTCAGAGCGGTTAGGCGTTCTCAGCGTGCTTCCTGCTTTAGGAGAGCTCAGAAGTCAGACATACCGTCTTTTATTTGACCTATATCTGTTGAGTAATTTTGAAAGTATCAATAAGAGTCCTTGTTTAGTTCATAAACCTCTTTCCTCTCTTTCAGAGAAAATACATTATTACTATATTTTTATTCCAAGAATTTCAGACCATGATCCTGAGAATTTTTGCCAAATATGATTACCTATTCCAAAATATACTGGCCTTGTCATCATTCTTGACTTTTTTGAGGGAATAGAAATGTTAGAAAAGTTTCAGTTCTCCAAGCAAACCATCACCCATGGCCCTGCCTCTCCCCAGAGCCTGTCCCCAGACTCGGGATGCACAGGCAGTCTGTGACCGACGTCCGCCAACCAGGTATCAGTGTAACTTGCAGAATTGGCTTCTATCTTGTTATCCGTTCTTCCTCCTCACCAAAATCAATTAACAAATGTAAAGACAAGACCCACCCATCTACTTTTGCAGACCTGTGCAATATGGCTTTATTTCTTAGCATGAAAGATATTTCCAGCCCATCTTCTGGTTTAGAATCGAGGTGAGTTGGTAACTCGTCTCATTTTCCATCTTAAATCTTTAAAAAGAAAAGGCATTTCCCGCCCCCCAAACATGTCTCCCAAAATGTGAATTCTATACTCTTAAGTAAAAAGTAGCCCATAAAAAGAGTGCCCTGTACAATTTGTCAGACCGGAACAGCTCTTCTGAAGTAACCAACAAACCTATGTAAATGTTTGTAATAGTACACTCACGTGCCAGGAGGCCCCTCAGTTACCTGCATGTTTGGAAAGCATTCTTCTATGCGTTCGGCAACTCCCTTAGTCATGTCAACCTCCCAGAACTTTCCTTTAAAATAAAAACAGACAGGATGGGATTGGAAAGCTGCATGTTTTCTTCGGCAAAGCCTTGATGAATCTGTTCTTAAATAGCTCTTGGACACAATTCTCAAGTTCAGGAGGGAGGACCAGGGTGGGTTTGGGTTTACTGTGAAGGTTGCCCAATGTAAACAACTGATTCCTTTTATCGTTTTTTGTTGTTGTTGTTGTTGTTTTGTTTTGGCAAAACTTGACACAAATTAGTTTCTATTTTTTTGTTTTGGCATATTTCCATTGAGTTTATGTTGATGGCATTATAGAGACTCCTTGAGGGCAGCGACTGTGGCCTTTGAATCATGTCTTGAAAATTAATTGAGCATCTTTCGTGTGCCAGGCACTATGCTGGTATGACTCGATGCTGAAAACAGGACACGGCTCCTGCCCTCTTGGAACTCATAATGTTTATATTTAAAATCACAGTTGCGGAGACTGTGTATGTGTGGATAAGAGAGACATGAAATCCTCTGCGCAGTTGGATGTGTGGAGAGTTAAGTGTGTCCTGTCTTTAGAGAACCCAAAGATAAAAGAAATGGCAGCCTCCATTAAAGGGGTATAAAACACCACAAACCACTGGAATATGTGGGAGGCAGAAAGTACCTCTGACTCCCACTGGCTAGTATTCTCTTTTACCGATCTGGAATTTTTTAATTGTAATCAGTGTCTTCTGGCATCTCTAAAGCCACAGATAAAGGTCATTACCATTCCTGAGCTGAACACGTGTCTGTAGAGGACCATGGCACCCTGACTAGATAAGGCATGCGTAGCCGAGAGAACCATGACAAGAAACACAGAGCAGGGGGAGAAAGAAAACAGCCTTTCCTTCTGAGTGCTGTGATTTTGTAGTGCAAAGTGATGGATAGAGATCCCCACAAACAGAACCTTTCCAACCAACCAGGTCAAGACTGAGTACATTTTCCGGCCGGTTTCCTGCAGACAGTGCAGTGACTACAATGTTTTGGGGAAAGTGTCCAAACAGGACCCTTTTGGGAGTCCTTAAATTCATGGCTAACATCATCATGGCCCCATCAGAAAAGAAAACCAGCAATAAACCAAACCAAGCAACTGAAATATAAAATGTGGACCTGGCTCATGTTGGGAGGGGGAACTCAAATACTCCCAGATCAACCCCTTTTCAGAATCTTGTAAATGTCTGCACGTCCTCTCTTCTTTAAGTTGAGCTGCTCAACTTGGATGAACTGTGAAATTTACATTTGTACTCTCTCAACCCACATATACCATGCAAGTTTATGAAGTTGGAGCAACTACATTGCAGTGTTTATTCTTGTCTGCTGTAGAAATAAAACAACAATCTCATGGGGAAATGTTATGACAGTCCATTCCAACTGTTTTCAGACACAGCCGTCAACACCCTCTGCTCACATTCCAGAACCACGCGCATGTCATCCATACAGCTCCTCGAGAAGTTCTGGGGTGGGTGTGGATGGATACGAGGGTCCTTTGTTTCCCAAACACTTCGTATAACAAGTCACTACTCATCACGCCTAAAAAGTGTAAGATTAACATTTTGAATAACAAACTGGAAAACAAAACAGTTCTCCAAAGACCCTGATGAACGGTTCAAAGACAATTTCAACTTCATCCACCAGAAAAGTTAAAAATCTGTTGAACACATGCGACGCTCAGAAATTACGTCCATTGTATCAATCCCACTATTTTTCTAGTAATATAGAGGCATTGGGCTGCTAGGGCGAGAAGAGTAAAATGCCCCGAGTGCAAATGATGCAAAGTAGGACTTTTATAGTGTGAAGTTGTAATATTATGGAATCCTTATGGCCGCTTCCTGTCAAATCACATTGTTTGGTCTTTAAAACTTGGTGTTTCAAATTTTGTCTAATTGTGAAAGCCAGAAACAAGAGGTAAACGTGATTTCACTTAAAACTATCTAGAAATATCTTCAGTAATTTTGCTGCTCTAATTTTTAGGCTATGATTTTTGTAATGAGCTCATCAGATTACAGATTTCCTTTGTTTACAATCTCACGTAGTAGGGCTCAGATCATTTCTTAGCCATAAACCTTTTCTCCCACTTTCATATTAAGTTCCATTTAAAATATTGTTTAAGCTACGCCTAAAAATTGAACCCAATTAATTAAAAATTGGAGGGGTTTTCCTTAATTTAAATGGAAATAGTATGTTCTTTTCAGAGGATTTTGTAACCAGTTTACTGTTTCTTTGCTTGGAAAACGGGGTCATTACCGACCAGTTAACAGTTGCATTACTTTCCAGAGCATTATCTAATGGGCCCACTGTGTACCTCAAGATAAACATGGTATGTTATGTCTAAAATAATTCATTGTTGATTTAAATGGTTCTGAAATGTCTATAAATAAAGAAATTTTAAAACTTGCTCTCCTTGCAATTGCTCCTCAGTGAGGCTGGCGTGGTGCAGTTTTCTAGAACCTCTCTTCCCATCCTTAGTAAGGAGAAGGGAGCTTGTCTGAAGGGATTGTCAATGCTGCAAGCCCGTTCTGTATGAACAAGAGATTGAAAACTATGGCTCTTGTACATAGAAGAAGCTGGACACCAAGTGACCGGATGGCATTCAGACAGAATCCAGTACCTGTGTGGCCAGGAATTAGAACAAAAGACAAACGTGGATGAACTGATGAGCTCTAAAAAAAAAAAAAAATAGTGTGCATGTTTGCATGGGGAAAAGCAAGGTAGTACAAATGCATATCTGTTTGGCTTTTCTCTTGTCATCTCTCTGGTGTAAGTTCTATAGTCACATCTAACATAGACAGCAGTCAGCATTTAGCACACTGTGGCATCCAAGAGTAAGTTTTACAGAAAAGTGAAGATTGGTTAAGAGAGCTTTCATTGTACTCCAAATAGCATGAAATAGCTTCCCAACATTTTATGCTGTAAGTCTTCCTCTTTTTTTTTTTCATCAAACCATTTTATTGAGGGCCTTCAGAGGAGGGTCGGTCTGGAAGAACATTGAGATCAGATGTCCTCAGCGTGGTGCCTGGTTGAGCCCTCCCCAGCTTCACACCCACCGAAAAATCTTCCTGTTTTCCTTTACTAGACAATGTACCCACAAATCATTCATTCCATCTTATACTTAAGCCTTCAACCCTTCTGACCTATTTCACAGGGATAAACCCGTGACTAAACCCACAGGTGACCACTTTTCTGGACTACAGGGATGTGTGCTGGAAGAAACTGGAAGATTGATGTGGTTTGGCTAAAATACCCAAGAATCTAACTCAAGATCCTAGGAGTACTTATATCAGTTATACACTAGGACATATATCTCCCCCGATTTTGGATATTGCAAAGTAAATTTGAATTTAGAAATCATTTGAGTTGGAATCAAATATCCTCCAAATCCTACATATCTGAGGTTAGAAAAATCCAAATCATTTGAAAGGAATGAGTAAGTGCTGGGTAAATTCTTGCTTCACTGAATGAGTTTTCCCTTAAGAAGCCCCCTCCCCTACCTCAGCCCCTTCTTGCTGACCTAGCTCATACACATCCTCCAGAAGTTACCAAGCATCAGCCCCAAGCTGATTAGGTTTCACTCTTATGTGCTGACATAGCTTCCGATGCGTATCTAACCCCTGGTAAGTGGTAAGCTCTTTGGTTTCAGGGCTTATGTATGTTTTTATTGTGTATCTTCAAAGGTAGATGCAACTTGAGGTTTTATAGAATGACAGTACAAATGCCATCTTACTGATGGCTGCCAGTCTTTGTACCATAAAGATCAAGATTCTGCAGCCACATAATAACAAAGTAAAGCCAAAAGAATTAAATAGACGAAGTATGGATCACAAAATTTCTGAGGAGAGTAAAAGAGAGAAAGATATGAACTTGTTTAGCAATCCCCGACTGAATTTCCATCATTTGGCAATGAATAC